CAAGCTGAGTATTTCCAAATGAAGAGAAGGCTCGGTTGTTTGGCGAGCCGCTGCTCCGGAACTTGGATGTTACGATGAGATTCCCCGTGCTCGGGTACTCGGGATCAAAGGCCTACCCATCCTCCTCACCTTGGCGATTTTCCCTGTTTTGTCGATATCACAGGCGAACGCTTTTGGAGGAGGTCAGACAATTCCCGAATCGATGATGCCGAGTCGTCTATCTCGTTTTCCCTCCGGAGAACGCTCCGCGCTGAAAAATCCCCGTCTGACGCAGTCGTTTGTACGGATTCGCGCGATCCTCAGCGATATCAAGGAACGGGACCGATAAAGCAGCCCGTCAAGGACTGTCACTCTATTCCTGACGTGAATGATCTGGAATAAAGATTACTCCGCGTCTATTCTCTTCACGCCGAAAACATCGCCATATTCTGCTTTCCTGCTCCCCGAATTCAAAGATCCCCGATCGCGTCAGTATTTTCCCACCCGCTATTCTGTGTACCGTTGCGCAACTCTCGCGAATGCGGAGGGGCGACACCAAGCAGATGAAAGCGGCGAAAGATCTTCGGAGGGAGCATGTCAGAGGAGAAGCGAAGTGAACCTACGGCGAGGAAGTGCGAGTTGACAGCGTGGCATTAGCATCTCAATGAGGGCTCATGCTCTCTGAAGAAGGGACCCCATATTTGTCAACGTCTCCCCACTCGACCTCCTCTCCAGCACGGTATTCCGGGGAGGAGTTCAAACTTGCAGCTTCCTGTAGACCCAGGTCAGAATCCCTAATTGAATGATATTAGGCTCCTAAGGGAGCCGAAACTTGGAGTGACCTGAAGCTTTTCCTCGGCGGGCTGATTATTTTCGGTGCTATTCGGAAAACTTCTCTGAGCATCGACACATTCCCGTGCACTTGTCCTGTGGACCACTTCCAGCCTTAAGGACCAGCTCCAACCTTTCCGAGCCGGTTCCAGCAATTCGTGGTTTGACTGGCAAGCTAGAATTACAACCGAGGTCGGTGGGTCCGTTCGATGCTCAATCGTGAGCGAGTATGCTCGCATTTATCTTTATTTTTTGGCAATGTGGATAGAAATCGGATTCTCTAGAACACGCCGATGACGCACGCAGGCACCATAAATTTGTCTTCCTGCGTGATTTAGACGGACAGCAGGCTCCGAAGCGAGGCCTTGTCCGAGGCCTCTGGGTCTATTGGTTCTACATATGTGTTTCAATATCTCCAGCTGTTTGGGTTACACCTGATTCGATTCTGTAATGCGCCACAGAGGAAGTACACACCGAGGTGTTGCAAGACTTCCTCGCGATGTTATCAAGGACCCGGTTTTCCAGCTCGGTAAACTGTAAACTCAACTCGGGGAATCAAATGCATAGATCCTGCGCGGTTCATTCGCGATTCGCTCGTGTTTAGATTCGACGGTAGGTCTTAGCAGAGGTATATCACCCCGGTGATGAGGATCAGCACTTTCGCTTTCGTTTTCGTAGCGAGCGAACACAACACCGTCGACGACATAGTGATATTGGCCAAATATTTACCCTGCCTTGCGGAAGACCGAGGTATTAATATCATCGCCAGAGCTGCCGCCCGGAAGCTTCCGAGACAGACCGACACAAGGCTACTCGGTCGCTCCTCGGTGTGCGCATGAGGTGGAGGGATGAACGCTGTCCGTCTCGCTATCAATTGCTAGATAAGTCCGACTCTTATCTTAATGGTGAAACACTTAATTATTTGAGCGATGCCATACCCCAGCCACCTAGCGTCACGGCAGGCCGAACAAGCTATGAGCGGAACCCGCTTTCGCAAGCGTCTCCCATCGCTTCACGCGAAATATATTCCCATAGGGGCCTAGAGAGAGAGCAGAGTGTTGGCGATCGAAAGTCTCGTTTGTCAAAAATTTGATTGATACTGCGTTCGAACGCTCACAAGTCTCACAAACCGATCCATTCGTGTCAAGCTGCGGGAGCCGGTCCACAGACCCAAACACAGCGCGTATCCACTGGCGGGGGTATCGTTCCAGGCACGTTACGCGTATTCATGGATGCCGGGAACTTTTCCCAAAGTTCCGAAGAACTTCAACCCAATGTCTACCGGGGCTTGACTTTTTCGGTGGAAACCACGGGCCGGCAGGCGATGTTCATGATAAGAAGCCCTACAATGATTCACCTCTGTCTTCTGTGCTAGTGGACTCGACGTCTTCTCATATTCTCCGGGTCTTTGGGGGTCGCGGGTGTAGACGGAGAATCCACTTCATGTGTATGTGCTGCTTGACCGGACCTACGTAATAGCGGACACGCACAAACGCCATTCATTGCGTCGAGGACACGAGTTACGTGTAAGAGGAACAGTCTAACTGCCGAATTCGGACGGGACCGTGCGTCCGTCGGTTGACCAGTGTGTTGAGTGTGAGGCGAGGAAGCCATCAATCTAGTCTGACCCGTCAGCTGCTCGAACCGCGCCCTGAATCCGGCCATAACGTGTCCCGCAAGCACCCGCAACTAACCTGAAAACTCCGAATCCCCGTCACGGACATCACACGATTCGCACGCTCTGATTTCTTCACACTGGTGTGCATTCAGTCATTCGGGCGGTCAGCCCCTGACAACCGAACGTAATGAGCTGTTGTTCTAGTTCCGCTCAGAATTAGATGCGTCGAACTCGGCTCGCCAGCAGATGCCGAGCACAAGCGAGAGCACGCGTGATTCATGTAGATTCGGACGGAATCTGCAGTCAGTGGTCGAGTGCTCTTGGGGAAAAAAGAGCCTGAACCTTGAGCGCAATAATTTTAGCAGCTGACCACCACGGAGCATGGCTACCATGGCTCTGTTCCATCGGACCGGATCTCTTTTCAATGTGTGCTCGACTTTTTACCATAGTCTGTTGACATTTGTCATCTGCTCCTACGGCGGAGCTCCGTCGACCACGTGCCGACCGAGGGTAGGGAGGTGGTCGGAGCGGGGGCCGCCTCAGTGTAGTGGCTGTCCGGAGCCTCGCAGACAGTCAGGCGAGCGAGCGGACGGGCGTGCAGACCGACCGGTAGACAGGCAGAGACAAAGCCGGGGTCAGGTAGGGCTTTCACGCTACGGAGAACACGCCGTCGACGAGCTGAAACCTGTGTGGCACTAATGCGGGTCGGCAAGTGGCTCCGTTCTCAGCCTGGACAAATGAACATTATACTCTCTATCTCATCTCGCGATGTTTCATTTCTTCAATAATTCATTCCCTCTCTCGCCTGGATGTCATCCCTCTGCCAGAGCGCAAGGGGCGGGGGGAGGGGAAGCAACCGCCTCGACGCCCAGTTCTACTGGGGGGAGCGGAGTCCATGGATCATATGATAGTATCATGGACAAATCCATCGGTAGTAAACGTATAACTCGACTGGGCGGATTCAAGATCGGCGTCGGCATCGCACGGATTATTATCGGACGCTACGGTCGTCCACTGAGAATGAATTTTCGCGCCGTTCAGTCTCTCCCTAAGAGTGGACGCTGCGGTGAGCTGTACGCTTTAGAGCGACGGTGCCGGTACCTAGATGAGTTCCTTCGTCAATTTTCTCGCCGAAATTCGATGCCGCTCGGGATCGAGAACGTTGTACGCGATCGACTGGATCGAGGTAACTCTACACCGCTCTACCTACCGGAAGGAGCATGGCAGTGATTCACAAGCCGAGAGCCGACCGGAGTATTAGATGCCCACCGAGGCTCGCCTGCAGGGCCTCGGTCAGCGGTATAGCACATCTAATTTGTCTTCCTCGTGACGAAATTGCTGTTGCCTCTCTTGCCAAGCGAATTAATTGTTGTCTCTCCCTTCGTCTTCTTCCCATCTCATTTCCTCACTTCCATGGCTCCACTGTTTACTTCCTACGTATAGGATTTGTACACGGATGGAGCAATACGAGTGAGTGTCATGGCCGGGGCGGAGGCCAAGTTGGCAGAACGGCCTGCCACGAGCCAAGTCCTGTCGGAGATGTAGCCTGGCCGGACGGGTGAGCAGGAGCTCACCAGCGAAATAAGGAATAGTAGGTCCGAGGTGGGAGCGCGCATTGGAGGAGCAAAACCGGAACAGCTCTTCGGTTGCTTGCCGCGTCCAGCATGGTCAGACCAAGACTATTCAGCAGCGAACTAGGCGGACTAGGGCTTGAGAGAGATCGGGAGTCGGAAGAAGACGCAGAAGGAACAAAACAAGACCCACATACAACAATCCCAGGTTGGGCTCTGTCCATAGCGGAGTAGCGACCCGATGGGAAAAGCGTAGCGAAGCCGGAAAAGGTGTGCGGTAGACAAGGGCAAAGTGTGGCGGACCAAAGGCTAAACTAAGCCCTCAACGGACGAGCACGCAGTGAGGCAACTTTGTGGCGAGGATATAGCAAAGCAAGACAAGCCACTGGCTCGGCAATAAGGAGTATGCGTGCAGTGTGCTGCTGCTGCTGCTGCGGGTAAGAACGAACGAGACTCACTGGGAGAGAGAGGAGGGGAGAAAGAGACGGAGAGGAGACGAGATCCATTTAGGAGAGGATCCGAGTTCCCATCGCGGCAGAGAGGCAAGCGGGTCTAGCCTGTCCGAGGGCGGCAGACAGCGGTCGGATCGCGTGATACTTTCGAATTCATCAAAGACTTCGTTCGTCGGCTCCTTCCGTTGATTCCGCCTTTTGCTCCTCATTTTGGATCTCTTCCCCTCGTACGAAAGGGACCGAGCAGTTGGGTAACTGTTTTCTACTTCATCAAATCGAGAGCCAAAGCTTTTCGAGCAGCACTCTCGATCCTTCGCATTCTCGTAGAAATGAGAGCTGCATCATTTTGTCCGAGCGCAATATCGAAAAAAAAAAACGCGTGATTGAAAAGAAGGTGACTAGAGGACCGGGTCGTAATTTTTTGACGACGAGTGCGTCAATTATAATTTTTCCATATCATCCATCTCCGAATCGCCGAATCAGCTTTATAGTATACGCGGATGATCTTATGGAAATACAAGATTTAGTTACATTGGCTTCTTCCCGGCGATGGATTCGCCCCAGACTGTCGACAAAATGGAAGAGATTCACGTGAATACCAGGAAATAACATCCTCCCCTTCCCTTTTCCAGATGCCTGACTGCTTGCATTCAGGAAAGACTTGGCGGGTGTCACCCGCTTCAAGTCGGGCCCCTTCCGAGGGTTCCAATTCCTCACGCTGCAGTAGTCCAGAACCAGCTCCAGACGAACCTTGCAGGCATCGGACATGGGCGAGTCTGATCGCTATCGTCGCTGCAGTCGTGTACCTCACAGCCACCCCCGGAGATATGGTCTATGATGACGTCATAGCCGTCAAGGAGAACCGCGATATACGCCCGCACAGCCCCATGCAGAACATCTTCAGAAACGACTTCTGGGGTACCCCAATCCAAAAGGTAAGCAGTGCCGTCTTACTCAGTCAGTCTGTGCAGCTGATTACTTAGCACATACATGTGTATTATTTATCCGCCTCACGACAAGCTGCGATACGCAGCGTATCTTATGAGCACATCTAGTTCGTTGCGATTGACTTGGACGTCGCAATAAACGGTAACAATGGACAGTGCTCGAAAAAATATTTGTGACAATGGCGGCGTTTAATGGCGCAATTAGAGGAGCCGCCGAGGTTTAGAACACGAGCCGGAGGCTCGTTGGTCGCGAGCTCAGTCGCTTGCAACGACAGGGCCGATGTGACTTCGGGACGCCGGTGGAGTTTTTTCCTCTCCGCACGTGGCCTCCTCTCTCCTCTCTTGCGTAGTCTCCCCTGCTCGCTGGCTTCTCTTCAGCGGTAGTAATTCCATTTCCGTTTTCCCAGCCACCGACGAATGCTTCAATGCTTCGGCAAGCGGCATAATTTTTTGCTTTCCGTTTCTCTTTGCGTTGTTTATTGCCTCCGTCCGCTACAGCTTGGCACGATTACATCTCTATTTGTCATTAATTGCCGCAGAGCACGACCGAAGTGTGTGCCAAACGAGGTTCTCTACGGGACGTCGGCGGCACCGTTAGCGGTATACATATGTACATGCATGTGTGTAAAAATATCCTCCACGACTAGAATTGATGCCGTCGCACAAGTAGCGAGCGCTTGTCTCGGAGCAGCTGCGTCTGTGAGCGTCGAGTCTGCTTGTATCGATAAATCGGTTCGCGTCCATCCGAGGCGCCTCCCCGAGCGCTTGCGCACAGGTTCTGCAGATCCTACAGATCGCAGATTCCGTCATAGGTTCCTGCGTCCGGAACCCGGCCGGTTCTGAAAGCCCCGAGGAACTAGTTTCGTATTCATCGAATCACGCCCAACCGATAGGACTGAGAATCAGAGAAAATAAAAGAGAACATTGATGTCGAAATGACTGCGACGTTGTGGTAGCCAAGAATTAATTCATTTCTCCACCCGTCTTTCAGGAGCATAGTCATAAATCTTATCGACCCCTCACAACGTTGACGTTTCGAGCCAACTACTTGCTAGATGGACTACGACCCATCGGTTATCATGCGGTCAACGTAGCTCTGCACTCTGCTGTAAGCGTACTCTTCATGCGTTTGTGTTTGATGCTGGTGAGTACGCGCACGGCGCGTGTTGCAGCTCTCCTGTTCGCCGTGCATCCTTTACATTCAGAAGCGGTAAGTTCCTTCCTCCATCGTCCCTAATGGGGAAATGACCGATTTAAGGGAATGCTCGTCTCTGACGCTCGGCTGGTCAAGCTGCCGGTGTCATCATTCATGGTTACGATAGCGGGAGACTATTGAGGAGAATTAAAGCAGGCATGGCTCTTTTCAGGTTGCTTCGATCGTTGGTCGGGCGGAGTTGCTCTCGGCCCTCTTCTATTTGTGTGCCTTAGTCTATTACATCGGCAACGACCATGAGAACAGCTATGGAAAACTTAATGGTGAGTATTGCAATTCATCAAGAGCTCCAAACGACGAGCGGCTCACGCCATCGTTCCATTCTCTCCTGGCCCCCATGTGTACATCACACGACTATAGCTCCCCCATACCCGGAACGCTTCAGTACCATCCGCTTATTAAGGAGATCTGAAGGTCCATCTGTCGTCTTTCGAAGTTTCTGTGCTGATTCATCGGAACCCTCAGCCCTTAGCGGAATATTAGCCTTCTCGAAACGACTCCTCTCAGCTCCCCCGCACACGGGTTCTGAGAATCGTCACGAGTTCTCGGTATCGAATGGTTCAGATTTCTAAGACGGCGAATTTTTCAGCTACGCGATGGCAGTATTACTTGAATACAGCCTTGTTGTCCGGGGCCGGTATGCTGTGCAAGGAACAAGCGATCACGGCGATTGGTGAGTGGTTTCGCTAAAAACTTCGGCAAAAATACCATTAATAGAAAACGACCGCTTTCGAGGGGCGGCTGCGGTCACCGATGTCGACGACGGGGTCCGCGTCTGCAGACTGTCGAGACCAGAGACCCCTACTACACGTGTCTCCTACTTAGTCTGTTTTTTTGGTGGCTGACCCAGCCAATTCGCGGGTCGCAAGCTTCGAGGGAGTAGTTCTTCGAGTACGTCGTCCGGATACTCGAGCGAGAAAGAGAACGATAGAATTGGGAAAAGAGCTAGTAAGCAAGCGGATGGTCGGCGAGCTCGGCTGGCGAACCGAAGGGTGGGTGAGTTTTGTTGTCCATTAACGCTAATCGTTTCTTCAGGGGTGTGTTGCGTCTACCAGGCCTTACGTATCCGCCAGAACGCCCATCGCTACGAGAGTTGGCAAACGGCGGCATTTAAGCAGACGGCGGGGCTTCTATCGACGGCAGTTGTGATCCTTGCGTTTCGGTTGTCCATCATGGGAAGTCACATCCCAGCATTCAGCAGGTTCGTGCGCCGTTTCCCATCCCGATTTTCCCCAGCCCTTCGGGAAGTTCATGAATATCCTTGGAATAAAAACATATCAGACTATCACGCTCATGACGAAGAGCTGGAGCTAACCTGCCTGTCCCTTGCCCTCCCAGTTTGGACAACCCGGTGTCTACGATGGGTGTTTGGGTGAAACAGCTGACGTACAATTATTTGACATCTCTGAACGCTGCGTTACTCGTCTTCCCGAGTCAGCTCGCTTGTGATTGGACATCTGGGAGCATCGTGCCGGTCACCTCGCTGTTCGACTGCCGGAACGTTTCCACGTTGATTGTCTATAGCTTCATTTTCTTCGGCGTCCGGAGTTTGCTCGTCGCTAAGAGACAAAACACCGGAGCGTTGATGGTGAGTCTTCAATCGTGCTCTGGGTTCTCCGACGTCGCGCCGGCGGCGTCGAGATTGTCCTGAGGCGACCGAGGACAGGCGACTAATTCCCCTTCAGGAGGGTGGATCGTGAATCCTGAACTGTTTCTCCGCACACGCTAAGATCTCAAGCAAGATATTTCTCATTTTCAGGCGGTCGCAATGGCTGCGATTCCGTACCTACCAGCTTCAAATGTATTTTTCCCTGTTGGCTTCGTGATCGCCGAACGGGTCCTGTACTTGCCAAGTATGGGATTTTCGTTGCTTGTTGCTCTTGGATGGAACAGATTCTACTCATCGGGGTGAGTGCTCTCAAGAAAGCATGAGATATTCCAGATTTCTCAAAAGACTACGATCTCCTCAACGCCGAGTCGGCTGCGGGCTCGGCAATCGCACACAGAACGCGTTTCCTCGGACATCTCAATATCGGAACAGATTTCCATTGTCTAGATGGGGGGACCTTTTCCGTTCTCCGACCGAGATCGAGAAGGAGGGAAGAAATGGAAGACTGTGTAAAATCGATACCGACCGGTGGAATCGAAGGAGAGTTTCGCTGAGAGACGAAGGGGAAGACAATCAGCGGCGCTCGTCGAGAGGCGCCGCCCTGCGGGGAATAATGAATGTACCTAATTGCAAGGTTAAGCCGATCGTTCGTTTTCAATTCAAGTTGTCACGCAGCCCATTTGTTCGGAGCGAAACTGCAATCTCATAATTGGACGAAAACGGAGGTAAAACGAAGCTTTTGTGCGTCAGTCACGCAGAGCCTGTCGAAGCCAACGGCAGCATCGTGCAGATGGTCCGCTGCCGTGCTTCCGCGACTATCCTGGGCTCGAGGGAGACTGTGAGGGAGCAGAATTCGCAGCTTGCGTGCCCCGTCCGACCGTTGAGGGACGGTCTCGCACCTCTCCCTCAGCGGGAGCACAATGATGATGGGCATATCGAGTTGGTTTTCCCAACGTGAGGCGCGGCGACCGACCGACGGGCGAAATACGTTCGTCGATGCAGCTTCTCGGAATCGAATGCTAACGGCGATGCTTCTCGGAGGGCTAAATGCTCCGTTCCTCCTGGGTTAGTCGTATCGCAAAAGGCGGCAGCGGCAACAGCAAAGGGAGCCCGAACACTCTACCGTTCTTTCGGTGCAGACCTATTACGGAAAGTTTGGTCCGTTTCCTCGCCGCTTTTTTCGTCTAAACGTCCGCCAGTTTGCCCATCCGCTCACTCGGTCGGGGGCTCTCTGCGCTCGTCTACCCGTTAATGGAATGCTGCTGCTTCGTTCGAACTTTATCCTCCTCCTCCCCCCTTTCCGGCGCCCCGTGTCTGTTGGGCTAGTTCTGTCGGTTCTTCATCTCTCGCAGTCTAGCTCAGAGCTCGAAGCTCCGCTATCCTCTCACTGGGATAGTTTCCCGCGCATTGTTCGGTGGGAGTCGGTAACAGCGTATTACTGAACGCATTCTGTCCCGACGAATCCGGAAGGGCAGCTGCCTGAGCGCTGCACATCGCGTACCTCCAGCGAAATAATTGAATTATCGTAGGGGGAGCCTTTCTCGAATTCTCGGAGGAGAATGGAATTCCAGATCTCGTTTCGCGAGCAACTCACGTAACAAGTCGGTTTTTTCTTTCTGTTTTCCGCGCAATGCCGGCTCCTTCTCCCGAAGGAGGAGGAGCGGACGACGTGTTCTCGGCGCGGATGGAGCCGCATCTCAGTTCGTCAAGAAGGAGAATTCCGATTTGAGATTGCGTCTGCAACCTCAATAATTCCTCTTCTCCGAGGGAACTAAAATAACCGAAGAGGATATCGCTGGGAGCTCACGGTTCAGACTCCGTCTTGGGAGGAGCGAGGATACTTCGCTCTTCCGGCGTGAGATATGAATAAGCCGATCGTCAGGCTGCTAATTCTCTTTTTCTGCATTCTGCTTCCGAAGAAGGCCGGTCCGCTCCAGGCCCCAGTCTTTGAACGCGAGCTGAGATCCCTCCGAGAGCAGCTCTCCCCCGACGTCGATCGATCGATGGGCTCTCGAGTATGGCTTCATCGACTCGGAGTGCAGCAACGCATGGACTCGAGTCTCTCAGGGAGCATCACGGCGAGAAAATACACGGGAGAGAGTTTCTTGCTCGAGAGAACATGGAGCATCCGAGTGTGAGCGCTGTCCCTCTGTCCTTTTGATGTAAAAGCGACACAGGCATGTTCGCGATATGCGGTCAGCTGGGTGCGGTGGTGGCAAAGAGGAATAGCATGCTCCTAGTAATTCCTATATTTGGAGGAGGGAAGTAGTCGCGACGTGTTCTTCAGTTTGTAAGGATTCGGAAAGACTTTAACCTGTCTTCTCTCTCTTTGACCATCTCACTATGGTTCTGGTGGAGGGTGGTTCATGCGGGGCCCCGTTTCTGCTCCTGCGACGGCTCCTGCTTAGCACACGATGGAACGGACGGTAGCAGAGACATAAAAATGTCCCGAGTCTATCCCGCATCTCATTGAGAAAAAAAGAAGAAAGAAGAGAGCCGTTGCGGCTGCGGTCGGGCTATGCAAACCTGACAAATCCAGCGGTGGTTCGAGCAACCAGAGTCCTGAGATAAGCGGCGGGGATCACGAGCGCAAATGACCCGCTCTTCGACTAAGACTCTCAATTGACAATCAGCCGATCTGCCGTAGTCCCCAATTAGTCCACAATCTTCCTCGGCGAGCAATGTCCTGTTCCGAAAGAGGCCGAGAAGGTTTCACGGATGTTGTGGCCCCCGGCATGGAATCGGCGCACCGATGTACCGGACTGAAACGGACTCGGCAATATTCGCTGCGAAAATCTTAATCGCGAACGAATTGGGCTTCACTCGCAGAAACCGATGAGGGTCCCGGGAAAAGTCGACTAAATCCGCGAGGCTTTTGTGGTTGCTTCATTTAGTAAGTGTGAATGGACGGAAAAAATGGTGCCGAAAGAAAGGATCGAAGCGAAGGAACCGTCGAAGAGGAAGAGGGCGGAGTCTTTCTGCCAGCCAAGATGCGAAATCGATAACGGGTTCTCGCCTGCTCGCCACGCTATTCTCAGAGTGGAGGAAAAGAAGCCAAAGAAAACTATGGGACCGGGCGGAGAAGAGCGGTGACGGCGAGTAGATTGAGGAAGCGGAGGGGAATAAGGAAAAAAAATGGAAGAAAGAAAATCCGAAGCTGGAACGAGGCTCCGACGGCGGAAGGAACTGGGCTGGGTGACTGAGTCTTCCGAAGAAAGGCGACAGAGCGAGGTCTCAAGTTGATTACATTTTCCCGCGGGTCGTGCCTCTGGAATGATTGCGAGCAAAGTCGCTCCGAAATGCGATTCCGTATCGGCAGTACCTATGAATGGCCAGAGCAGCAGGTGTTCCCTCGGAGGTGTCCAGCGGCGGCGCGAAGCATCTGATCCGAGAATTCTGGAGAATATATAGAAGCCTCCAGACAGCAACGCTGAACGTGAATTCAATCAGAGGATCTCGCACTAGTTTTCGATTTTTTGGAGACGTGACGGCGGCAACCAACTTCACTTGCCTTGACGCCAGCCCAACCTTACCGTGACATGTCGCAGAACACGATGACATCCGGGGATACGAGAAACAGACAGAGAATTTCTTCGAAAATCCTCGTCTGTTCTTCGAGATGTTCTTCTGTTCGACCTTCGACCCTCCTTCGAACGGACCGATGCGCAGAAACAGGAAAAGCGCGCTGTGTGCCGAAAAGAACGCCTTAAAGGGCGAGCAGACAAACGAGCCAGAAGGGGAACATCCGACAGGGCTCTAAGCTTAGACGTCTGCGCGGAACACGTTCAATCCGGCCGTAGAGATATGACGCAGCTTAGCGCTCGTCCTACCGCGTCTCCTTCTTATCCGTTTTTCTCAAAGCTGGTTCTTCAAGTCGTCTCCCGGATTTTTATACAGCACTACGGGCAGTCTTTAATGTCGTGACAAAAAGCACTTGGACCTCCTCGTCGACATCGCCGCTCGTCTCGACCTGGACTGCGCTCCGAGTCCCATATCCTCTGCTCGCAGCGCTCATCGCTCATCGAACCTCTATCTGTGTTTGCCGCAATCCATCCCGCTGTATTCGAGACGCTCCCCAGTCTGCGTGTCTCGCCGCGCGTGGATTGGAACCGATCCGGGGGACCCCCAGCTGACGCGACGAAAATGACGCGATGAGAAAGACGCGCGGAAAATGTCGCCAGCCGAAAATGACGCGGGATTGCTGGACTGTCTTATTCAAACTCGGTGCCGTCTGACAGCGGTCGAGCCAATCGTATCCCGGCCCGCAGCCCTGACATAGGTTTATAGCCGAACAACATCCGGAATTACGCATGCATTGATCTCGCGTCATTTTGGGTTTGCGGCATCTCCCTTCGTCATTCTGGATTCGCGTCCTTTTCCCTGCGTCATTCCCGCCCGCGTCATCTTCGGCTCGCGGAATTTTCTTCGCGTCATTTTCGTCTCGTCATTCTCGTCGCGTCATTTTATCGTACAGCCGAACCGATCAATTCAAGCTCGATCGTACGGAGACACTACTCGCAGACGATTCCGACTAGTAAGTTCGAAATCCGACTCCGAGATTTCCGAGCGAAGCCTTGCGCTGCTCCGGCTGCCGAGCTCCGCCAGCACTCCTTCTCTTCGTTGCGGGGCATGAGCAGGCGGCCTGCGAGCACCGCAAACCTAGAAATCTTATCGGAAATCCTTAGAAAATCGAACAAAACGGCCAGGCGTCGACACCGATCCCCTCTCTCGCAGCAGCGATGGCTGTACCCTGCTCTTAATAGATTCTAATCTCACTGTCTGTGCAAACAGAGAGTTGGAGCTCTTTTTTCTCTCAACTGTTCCGGACCAGCGAAGCTAAAGGAACTCGTGTCGTTTGCAGTGAGTTCCTCTTCAGGTTCAGTGTTGTCAGTGCTGACCAGCGAGGCTCTTGATGCGGTAGTGTTGCTCGTCATGGACTGGTGCCAGACTACTTCCGGCTGTTGTCACTCGGACGAAGTGAGAGCACTCGAGCTCAGAACCGGCTTAGGAACCTACGTGCAGGTCTCCCTCCGGAGGGAAACTCACGCTCGGATCCAAGCCTCACGTAAATCTGACTGTTTGAGCTCGGAATTCATACCGTCACATGACTAACTCCACTCGAAAGACCAATTATTGTGAACAGATCGTTCGGGTCGCTTTTGCGGATTTATATGGAGATAAGCAAGGACCCGACGCGGATGGAATCTATTCTCGTCTCAAATGAGTAGCCGCTTGCGGGTTCGTTGCTGGGGTCGTCCGGCGCGCTCGCGATGCTCGTCCAAGATGACCATTAGACGTG